ATTACCGCGTTAAAACTGTAAATAAGGTGTGTTAATTAACAAGGGTGAAAAACTGTCTGAGAGGTGAGTTAATTAACGCTAGGGGTGAAAAACTGTGCGACAGTGCGTTTTCAGTAGAGGTGACATAATAAACCGACCGGTAAAAAATGAATGTCAATGTTGTGTATTGTTTAATTGGCGTGTTTTCTCACTAGTTGCGATAACTGCATCAAAAGGAGTATAATCAAGGATCAACAGGTTTTATCTGACATGTACGTGTTAAATCAAAATTTAGGAAGTAAAACTGTTTTACCGTGCGATTTATAATTCGACCGTGTGTTTTACGCAGGTCTTTGTATAATTAAAGACAGGTCTTTAGACAGGCGTGTGTGCTTGCTATGATCGACGTTTCTCTTATGTGTCTTTTGTATTGCGTACCATATATATAAAGTTGAATTTAATGAAATAAAAATACGGACCTTAATCTATTGTATACGTAAAGGCGAATGTAATGTCGTCATTTATAAATACCCAGCAGTCAGCGCCCAATTTGAATATCCACGGGAATATAGAGAGTAAATCCAGCAAAAACAACAGAAATATATTTCTGCTTTATTACTAAAAAGACGCGCACTCACCCTTTGAAATTTATTGAATTTATAAAAACGTGCCACGTTGCGTAAATTGTGCATCTTACTTTCAATAGCAATATCCATAAAACAGAAATAATGTTGAAGGTCCTGCAACGTCAGTGGTGGATTCACTTGCTGACAAACACATCGACCCTGTTCGTCCCAGATGTGTTCAATAGGATTAAGGTCGGGGCTAAGCGACGGGAAATCCAGGACTTGGACATCGGCATTTCTTAAAAAATTCTGGGTAGCAATTGCTGTATGGGGTCGAGCATTGTCTTGTTGAAACGTTAGTCCAGGCCCATGTCTCTGTATAAACGGAAGAAGAACAGGTTGCAAAATCTGATCCCTGTACTGGACAGTATTTAAGTTCCCTTGGACAACAACAAGAGGAGAACGTCCATGTGCACAAAAAGAACCCCAAACCATGACGCTGCCGCCACCAAATCAGTCAACTTCTCTGACGCATACTTGAGCGTAATGTTCACCTCGTCTGTGGTACACTCGGATCCTGCCATCGGCAAATCTCCAAGTGAATCGAGATTCGTCACTAAAGACAACCGAATTCCACTGTCTTTGAGTAAATTGTATGTGTCTTGTGGCCCACACAAGGCTCTACACAGCATTTTGAACTTACTTGTGCAAACATAAGTAAATTTTCAAAACCACTAGCCAAACAAAATTTTCAGTTGCCAAGTCTGAAGATTAGAATAATTTGTCGTATGATATAGCTAAATTATATTGTGAATATACATAACTCGTCGTCCTATAATAATAATAAAAAAAGATGTTTTAAACATTTTTTTCCGACTGGGACTCACTGCAAGACTAAGACGGCGGTCGGCGAAGCTTGTAATTTTGCTTGTTTGGGTGGTGTAGCGTCAGTAGCATGACTATCATCATTTTTCCCCAACTGAGACTCACTGCGAGACGAAGTTACTTTACTAGTAAAGTAAGACGATATAGGTTTGATTCGTCTGCTAGCCATGCTGTCAGCTGTCTCGCAAACTTCCGATAAATACAGCGCATGCGCAATGAGAATTTCCTCGCAGAGGACAATGAGATTGACCCAATTTCAAACCAGGAAAGTAACAAGAGTGACATTTGACTGGGATCATTGCCGATTACGTTATCTTTACGGAGAAAAGTTCAGATAGCTATAGTGTTAATTGGGGACTTCAAGATATATGTTCACTCGCCAGAAACCTAGCATTTATAAATATCTGGTCGCCATTGTCAAAATTCACTCGCAAATGCGAGTGTTTCAGTCGCATTGTAAAGCCTTGGGCCCACACAAGTCGGTTACGGCGATGAAGAGGTGTCAATATTGGTCCTATAGGGCCTCCGAGCTCGAAGACCAGCAGCCTGCAAGCGATTTCGAACAGTTTGTGCAGTTACCCTTCCACCAAACATCTCTCTACTTGTGGAGGTTGCAGTGACATATCTGTTTCTAAGATGACGTAATCGTATTGCTTGATCTTCCTGGAGTGACGTCACACGTGGCGCTCCCGCCCTTGGGCGGTCGGCAATAGTTCCAGTTTGAAGCACTCTCATTCTAAGATTAATTATTGTCTGGCGTGAACAATTAAAGGCTCTTGCAACAGTGACCACAGACTGACCAGCATAGAGCCTACCCATAGCATGTAGACGTTCTACATTTGAAAGGCACAGCATTTTCTAACAAAGATGAAAATAACAATTTTAATTTGTTTTTCCAGTTCAAGTTATGTGTGCGTGTTCAGTTTAAGCAAACTTGCATCGATTGACCTCACTAGTTTGTGTTTGCACATGTTTTTCAGGTTTTTCATCTTTATATGCTCAAAAGTCACGTGATCCACGTGACTTTACAATTTTATGAAATTAAAGGCTTCTTACTACTTAATATCGTTAGAAACACATTAAAATTTATTTGACTTCCAGAACAAAAAATTTGTTGAAATTCCTCAGTGTCAAGTTTTTAATTTGGCTGAGTATATGTGATAAAGAGTTTAAATGGCAATTCACGCTTGATACAAAAACTATTGTATATTTGGAATTCATCATTTAATTTTTGGTATTTGTAACATGCAGATGTTAAAAGAGAGAATACTCTAGCATATGCAATATGGTATTAGGCAGCAAATACATTAGCAAAATCCCTACTTCAAGTTATGTGTGCGTGTTCAGTTTAAGCAAACTTGCATCGATTGACCTCACTAGTTTGTGTTTGCACATGTTTTTCAGGTTTTTCATCTTTATATGCTCAAAAGTCACGTGATCCACGTGACTTTACAATTTTATGAAATTAAAGGCTTCTTACTACTTAATATCGTTAGAAACACATTAAAATTTATTTGACTTACCAGAACAAAAAATTTGTTGAAATTCATCAGTGTCAAGTTTTTAATTTGGCTGAGTATATGTGATAAAGAGTTTAAATGGCAATTCACGCTTGATACAAAAACTATTGTATATTTGGAATTCATCATTTAATTTTTGGTATTTGTAACATGCAGATGTTAAAAGAGAGAATACTCTAGCATATGCAATATGGTATTAGGCAGCAAATACATTAGCAAAATCCCTACTGTGAGTTGTAAGTTAGGGGTCCGATTGGACCCCTTGTTCCCTTCAAGCATTGGGCCTGATTTAACAGAACTCTGCATGTGGGAAGCAGATGAATACCGAACTCTTCGCTACGTGTAAAAATGTATAGGAGACAAAGTCACTAAATTTCAGAAAGCAGTGCCCAGTAGTTATTACAAAACACTATAAAACATGTGCTCGTAATCCTTTAACGGACGTCACTTAACATATTCCCATGAGCATGTTACACGTGTTAACTATTTAGGCGAAATTGCCATTTATGATAGCATGTTAACGTGTGGAACCCTTACAAAATGACCAATGCTTGGTCGTATATCTACACAATATTACTTAAACGAAATTAGTAAACATCATTATTAAATGGCACTGAATAACACTCTTTAGAAAAAAAAACATGTTTGCTTTAAGGGTTGAAAATATGTTTTGTTTTTTTCAAAACCACTGTAGATGTGTTTGGGTAAACAACGTAAAAAGGTACTTTGGACAATTGCATAAAGTTACAAACTATCTTTTGATATATTCATATGTTCGCAGTGGTTTGTGCTTTTCGGTATGTGGAATTAAAGTTTTAAAATTTCTAATGACAAGAATGTTACACTAATTTACAGCTGCAGTATCAAATCTAGCAAATGTCATTAAAATAGAACAATATTTTATTCTTTTGAAAAGTGACTCCCACAAAACTGCCTATTTCTCAGAAATAGCAAAAATTCAAAATGATTCATGGATATTTGGTTGATGTTATATATCAACCCTACGTGTAGATAAATGTTTAGAATACAAATATTATAAAATAAAAAAGTTAAATAACATTTGCGGGAAAACAGAGTATGAAAATCGATTCCCGCATTGCTCTGCATATTTAGGAGGACTATCCAGATATATATCAGCTAATTTGCGATAAGATAATATTTTGTATTAATTAGTATTATAGATAGTGCCAACATGTATACCATGCCGTTGATTCTGTGTCAATCGGATAATTATTATTTAGTTTATAGGCTAAAAACTGCAAGGCCAAAGGGAAATAATCTGGACAAATATATTTTGAATATTTATATACAGCTGATCAGAACCTTGGAAAACTAATAAAGTGTTTATAAAAATGTCATATCTCTAGACCTTACTCCCCAAAACCGAGTGGCTTAATGCGCAGTTTCTGCAAAATAAGCGGGTTAAAACAGAACATAATATTAATCCAACCAAAAAACATGATCCACAGCCTGAAACCTAAGTATTACTGCCGCAAAAGAAACGGGCGAATTTTCCTTCACTATATATTTCTAACCGAATGTACCCGATTAGGAGATACCTGTCTACCCTATACGCGAAATGCAAGTCTCCCATTACGCAGACGCACTCGTAATGTTGATGTTTTGAGAAAGAAACAATGTCGAAATATGTGAAATTTTCAAGAGGAGAGTGGATCTTATCGAATTTTTAGGCGTTAGGGCTCGACGAAGCAAGCACGGGATGACAATTTCAGGTATGTCACCAATTTTTGGCCGTTGAAATTAAAAACTGAAGAAATGGCAAAGAATTTGAGAGTCAGAGTATCTCTTGGAACAGACAGTAGCTACATTTGTCAAAAAAATATTCTAATAAACAAAATCTTGAAAAAATTTGAAAAACGATAGAGCTTGGTAGCCAATGGAGTATGGACATATCTGAGCTTACCCAGAAAATATTCTAACATACTGAATCTCCAAATATAATTTGAACCTCAATAATCTCCAATCTCCATGGTTAGATATACATTCATTAACGAGAAAATATTCTGACAAACATAAGGTTAAAGTTTACCTTGAAATAATGCAGTAAAAAATTTGAAACCATTCATTGAAATCCAGTAAAAAATCTGTAACCATTCAATGAATCCTGCAAAACAATGATTTTCTTTTCATCAGTCTATTCGGGACAATAAAGCTTTAACATATTTTACTCAACAAATGTTCAACATTCTGTCCAAATTTGTGGTTACTCCCTGCAACAGTGTCAGGTCATGTGACTTTGGCGTGAAATCTGACAGTCAGGGGCTGAAATCTAGCCCACTCCAATCTACGATTTTGAGTTAGTATTTTATTTAAATTTTATGTATTACTAGCGAATGTATTGTAATACTTTGATATCAATCTCAATATCTGCAAATATTTAGACTCAAAAATGATCAAAATGTAAGTGAAATTGCCCTTTATGTACGGGATTTTCCATCAACGCGCGTTGCCATGACTCACTTCATTGGTGAATTCACACCTTCGTTTTCGAGCCAATCAAACCATAGATAACATTTGTGTGATTCAAGTGATTCTGAAGGGAATACGACTTATGACGTCACTCAGATATGACTGAAATGCACTTATTTTAGTGCTATGGGACTCGTTGACTGTTATAATGGAGCAATTTGATTACATATCGATATCAGTCTCGGATTTTAAAAATCCATAACTATGAATCTAATTAGGATAATTTGTTGAAATAAAGTTTTTCGGGAAGCAATTTATGTATATTTTCACTAAATATTTTTTTTTTGTCATTTAACCTATTTTTGCCAAAAACGAATTAATTCGCACCCTGTCATTAGACGGTAGCGTATCAAAGCGCCGACTAATCATGCCTGGCATCGGCGTTAGTGAACATAAGCGTGAGATCAATCAATGGTTTTCTTTTGTATTTATTTCATAAAATAATTATGATTGAGTAATAAAAATAAAACACCCAATGAAAAGGAATGTTATATTCGCTAATTGTCCAATAAAAGTGAATTGTTTTAACAAAGGATCTCCAGGAATTTACGTAGGCCTAATAGATGAAAATTCACACTGTGTCAATGACATTATTAAACATTCTTAAGACGTAACTTATGGCTAATAAGTTTACGATGTGGAGAGTGATATTGAATCAAAATTTTTATCATTTACTGACCATTATATAGTGGATTATGATAATGTTGAAGAAATAAACTATTTATTTTTATTTTTGACTTTAAGAAGCGAAGAGTACAAATTCTCCAGTCATGATCGAGCGGGTCAGCCGCCATCTTGGATATGCTTCCATTCCATAGTGATTGTTTTACCGTTAGGCCTATGACAGAGAAAAGTCGATGGGTTAAATCATCAACCCGAACCATCTACGGGGGGCCGTGGGATAAGAAACTGAATCTTGAAAAAGGCATATATGTCTGAGCTTACCCAGATAATTTTCTAACAGACTGAATGCATTAAAAACAATCTGAACCCCAATAAAGCTTGGAGGTAGCCTATCAATAACTCAACTAGTGCTGGACTTTCACCATTGCAAAATTATTCGCTACAATCATCTAGTAAATGTTACTCAACATACGTTTGGTCATAACTTACTGTTTATGTATATCAAACAACACAGAATAACCAAAAAAAAACCAAACAATTAACAGTACCGGTAACTACAACACCTATTGCAATGATAAAATCATCCATTTTGGATATCCTCAAAAATTCATGATTGGTTGGTTTTGGGAAAATTTTGATGGGTACAAATTTAGTTTGACAAATGGCTGAAGTAGAATCTACACTTTAAATTAATAAATCATCAGCTTTTTATCAAATGGATAATAAATCTCAAAAGAATAAACTTACCAACTTTCTTCACCTACGATGTTTGCTTTAGTACGGACAATACGCAGGAAAATGCAGCTTGCTGATTGGTCACATTGGCTGAAAGTGGTCACATTGGCTGAAAGTGGTCACCTGACAACAGGATGGAGAAATACATATTTGGACATAATTATGGACTTTTTTCAGTCCAACTTTTTGTTGGGTAAATCATTAAAAACACCCAATAATACTGTGATACATCGAGTGTCCGTTGTACTTACAACTTACCCCGACATCCCGCTTGTAAAGACAGACGGACACAGACAGACAGACAGATTTTAATAGATCCCTGCTTTCTTTGAAAGGCAATAATGCATGTAAATTTAATACAGATTGGACTATAACTTTTGTAACAGTGTTCACTAGGTTAAACAAACTGAAACCAGGGTCATAACTCAAGAAGATATAAATGGAAATTGCTGAAATTCAATATGTATCTTCATTCTACTAATTTAAATAATGCATGTAAGTTTACTACTTATCGGATGATAACTTATATTAGTAGTTAGAGCCTTCTCAAGGTTCAACAAAGTGAAACAAGAACAATAACTCTAGAAGTTACAGAATTTTGATAGGATTCCTCATTTTACTAATTTAAATAAAACATGAAATTCAATACAGATCTGATGATAACTGTAGTCATTAGAGCCTTCACGAGTTCAACCAAGTGAAACAAGGACCACAACTCTAGAGGAAATAAACAGAAATTGTTGAATTTAAACAATATATATAAATTGTTTATATAATGTAAACCATATATATAAATTTCAAACTGATCACATAATAAATGTAGCCTGTAGAGTGTTCACAAGAAATTGTGGACGACAGACGGAGGCAATGTACAACCACATTTCCATGTAGGTGTATAAAACGTAAAACTGAATGTACATTTTCTAAAAAGATTAACTTACCAATTTGGTGTTCAGCTATTTTAACTAACGGAAGAGCATCAATTTTTTCTTCAGGAGCAGGTGGTGCTCCAGAACCTTCTAACTGGTTTAAAAGCTGAAATAACACAAATTGCTTTGTAGTATGACATACAAGCTGTCAAAAAAACACCCTTAAACAGCACTGAGGATCTTTTACGCCATCAAGAAACATTATCTCTATTGTGCTTACATCCCACTTCTACTCGTTGCCACTGGCAACCTTTGATAAAACTGTCCTGTTTATTTGCAATACATGCATAAAAGTATCTGTGTATCAGAAATGTACATAAAGAGTACTATTCATTTCTAAAACACGGATACTTTTATACCGTTTTAGATACCTATCAAGCAATAAGTAGCGGACGTTTAGTCCCATCCAGATCGCAATTAATAAAGATGGCTCTATACAATGTACATGAAACAACTAGTCAAAATCATAATAACAAAACAAAATGGGGGGAACTACATGGCAGCTCAAAAACATATACAATGACATTAAATTAACATAACAACATATTACAAAAATCAATTATTATACATATCAATTGACATCTATTTCATAATTTGGTTTGATTTATATTAATATGCAAAATATATAAATTAGAATATTGAATAATTATTTTAATTAATTGTGATGATAGAAGGCGCAGTTCTCTTGCTGGACACTTCACAGGCATTGAAAATAAGCAGGATGAAAAAAACGCCTAGAAAGTCATAAACTTTATTACAAATAAATTTCAACGGAAGAACCATCCGCCGATGCATACTTTCACCAGGAATGACCCACGTTTCGCATTTCCTTTACACTACATTTAATAATATCGCAGTCCTCTACGCCATAGACAAGTTGTTTTGACGATGTGGTCTAAATAAACACGTGATTGTTTTACGCTCAGAGTATCATAGCAAGACGCACGTGTAAAAACTACTCAGGTCGTCTTTCCACTGCGAAATCATTCTACCATGAAATGTAACCTGAGGCTCAGAAAGGGATAAATAATGAAAGAGCAGAAAGTATTTGTCACTTTTCGGTTGAAACGACTCGATAATAAATACTATTTTTCACATTTTGCTTCACAATACTCGATAGAAATGTGATGTAAGTAACTTATTAGCACCTTTTTTCAGTGTATCGGTGAATATCAGGACACTCGGAAAGTGTGCTAATAACTACTACTTACAAGCTTTGAAATAAGTGTTAAAAACTGTAGCATCTGTTGCGTTTAGGTTTTCGGAAAAGGGGAGTGGAGGCGATAAATTTGGAGCAGAAGGTTACAAAACGCTGAATATTGATAGGGATCGTCCTCTCATGAACCAAAGGCTGCACACAAAATTTGAAATAAATCCATTAAAAAATGTAGCCTCCAATCTCCCAAGTGTTCAAAAGGTTTTGGCAAAGGGGAAGTTCAACTCTCAAACAGAAGGACAAAGAATGCTAAATTGACAGTTTGACCTCTCATGACCCAATGCGCGTATCAAATTGAAAAGGGAGGAGGGGTGTGTGACTCTGGAGCGGAAGGTCTTGAAACAATGAATATTAATAGAGTTTGTCATATTATAACCTTATCCCACCCCGTTAAAGGGTTAAGACAGACCATACATAAAATGGAAACACACCTTCAAAGAATCTTTTGAGATATAATAAAAACAAGTATTCAAGGTGAATTATTATATTACCTGTGATATAATTGAATCTAAACCATGAGCTCCCCAGGCATAATCAGCAGGATTACCATGTAACTGGAACATTCCCCCTCTACAAGTATGAGCAATATTTAATTTTTACCACTGTAATATTTCCTTTCAAATATAATTGACAATTTTAGGATTCACTTACCGATATATAAGGGTCAATTTTCAGAAATTTGGGAAATCGACCCCCTTGAAAAAATCTGGAAAAAAATATGTTATTGTACATGCAAAAACTAGAAACTGTGCAAAATTTGTGGTCTGTAGCGTAAAAAATGACTGAGATACGGGCATTTGAGTTTCATGAGTTACCGATAAGTTTTCGAAACAAAATATGTATGAACTAGAACTGTGAGGCAGTAATGATGGGTTTCACAGGTGTCACGTTACCCTTGAACTTATGTCACATTCGGTACCAATGAAACTGTAAACAGATTTCCACATAAGCATTGCACACGTGTTATAAAATAGAAGCAGAATCAACAAATCCAACAATTTCAATTCCATTGATACATTTGTTACCATGTGTTAGCTGACTTTCTAATGGGAATTTCTCGACAAGGGAAGACACTAGAAGCAATTTTTGGACATCTATATGATCCTATTGATCCAATCTATGTGTCAATGGAATCAAATATCATAATGTTAATAATAAATATAACTAACATCAAAAAAACCATTTGTTTTGAAGGCTAAAGATAGGTTGCCAGGCAACGAAACATATCCCCACAGCAGCTAAATCGTCCGGGCAGTCAACAAGTGTTGTCGCATATTTTTACTTCTTCGGTAATGAAACATTTATAATACACTAAAATCTGATTAAGAGTAACAACTCATGAAGTAATTATCAGAAAACCATTAGAATTTGTTTGGTTTTTATAAAGTTCTCTCCCATGCTAACGTTTAGTATACAAAACTTTTAATATCATGGATTTAGCTGTTCAAGTCATAAAAATTCATTGAAAATCGATATATACTCAGCCAAATTAAAAACTTGACACTGATGAATTTCAACCAATTTTTTTTTCTGGTAAGTCAAATAAATTTTAAAGTGTTTCTGACGATAGTAAGTAGTGAAGATAGGTTGCCAGGAAACGAAACATACGCCCACAGCAGCTAAATCTTCCGATCAGTCAACAAGAATTGTCACATATTTTTACTTTTTCGGTAATGAAACATTTATAATACATTAAAATCTGATTAAGAGCAACAACTCATTAAGTAATTATCAGAAAACCATTAGAATTGGTTTGGTTTTTATAAAGTTTTGCCCCTTGCTAACGTTTAGTATAGGAAACTTTTAACATCATGGATTTAGCTGTTCAAGTCATAAAAATTCATTGCAAATCAATATACTTGTTTGTCTCAAGACCTTAAACTCTGTGTATGAATCTGAAGTCAATCGGATGATAACTTTAGCTTCTAGAGGGTCACAATGTTTTTAAAAGTGATCAAGGGCCATAACTTTGGCAGTAATTATCGGAAATCGTTGAAAATCAATATGATTCTTCGTCTCATGACCTCAAACACTCTGTATCAATTTAAAGTCAATCGGATATTAACTACAAGATTTTTTGAAATGATCAAGGGCCATAACTCTGGCAGTAATTATCGAAAATCTTCGCCTCATGACCTTTAACACTGTGTATAAATTTAAACTCAATCGGATATTAACTTTAGCCTCTAGAACGTCCACAAGATTTTTCAAAGTGATCAAGGGCCATAACTCTGGCAGTAATTATTGGAAATCACTGAAAATCAATAGGCTTCTTCGTCTAATGACCTTAAACACTGTGTATAAATTTAAAGTCAATCGGATATTAACTTTAGCCTCTAGAGCCTTTACAAGATTTTTTCAAAGTGATCAAGGGCCATAACTCTGGCAGTAATTATCGAAAATCGCTGAAAATGAATAAATTTCTTCGTCTCATGACCTTAAACACTGTGTATATATTTAAACTCAATCGGATATTAACTTTAGCCTCTAGAGCGTCCACAAGATTTTTCAAAGTGATCAAGGGCCATAACTCTGGCAGTAATTATCAGGAATCGCTGAAAATCAATAGGCTTCTTCGTCTAATGACCTTAAACAATGTGTATAAATCTAAAGTCAATCGGATATTAACTTTAGCCTCTAGAGCATTTACAAGATTTTTCAAAGTGATCAAGGGCCATAACTCTGGCAGTAATTATCGAAAATCGCTGAAAATGAATAAACTTCTTCGTCTCATGACCTTAAACACTGTGTATAAATTTAAACTCAATCGGATATTAACTTTAGCCACAAGATTTTTCATAGTGATCAAGGGCCATAACTCTGGCAGTAATTATCGGAAATCGCTGAAAATCAATAGGCTTCTTCGTCTCATGACCTTAAACACTGTGTATAAATTTAAAGTCAATCGGATATTAACTTTGACCTCTAGAGCATCCATAAGATTTTTTGAATTGATCAAGGGCCATAACTTTGGAAGTAATTATCGGAAATTGCTGAAAATCAATAGGCTTCTTCGTCTCATGACCTTAAACACTGTGTATAAATTTAAAGTCAATCGGATATTAACTTTAGCCTCTAGAGCGTCCACAAGCAATTGTGGACGCCGGACGGACGGGGGCGATGACAATATACGACCACATTTCAATGTGGGCGTATAAAAAGCCTTTAATTTCATAAAATTGTAAAGTAATTATCGGAAATTGCTGAAAATCAATAGGCTTCTTCGTCTCATGACCTTAAACACTGTGTATAAATTTGAAGTCAATCGGATATTAACTTTAGCCTCTAGAGCGTCCACAAGCAATTGTGGACGCCGGACGGACGGGGGCGACGACAATATACGACCACATTTCAATGTGAGCGTATAAAAAGCCTTTAATTTCATAAAATTGTAAAGTCACATGGATCACGTGACTTTTGAGCATATAAAGATGAAAAACCTGAAAAACACGTGCAAACATAAACTTGTGAGGTCAATCGATGCAAGTTTGCTTAAACTGAACACGCACATGTAACTTGAACTGGAAAAACAAATTAAGATAGGTTGCCAGGCAACTAAACATACGCCAACAGCAGCTAAATCGTCCGAGCGGTCGAATATTTGTTATTTTGTAGGTAATTAGGGGGCATTTAATGGACAATTTCATACAGATGACATTATAATTTTCGTCGTTTGAGGGTTCACAAGGTTCTAAAAACTAAAACAAGGGCTGTAACTCTGGAAGTAATCTACAGAAATTGTTGAAATTCGACAGACTTTTTCGTTTTACTAATTCAAATAATACATATCTATTTCATACAGATCGGATGATAACTTTTGTCGTTCGAACGTTCACAAGGTTCAACAAAGTGAAACAAGGGCCATAATTCTAGAAGTAATTGAAAGAAATTGCTAACATTCAATAGGATTCTTCATTTCACTAATTTAAATGATGCATATGAATTTCATACAGATTGGGTGATAAATTTTGTCGTTCAAGCGTTCACAAGATTCAACAATGTGAAACAAGGGCCATAACTCTAGATGGAATTAACGGAAATTTGCTGAAACTCAATAGGTTTGTTCGTTTTACTAATTTAAACAATACCTATAAATTTCATACAGATCAGATAATAATTTTGTCGTTAAAGCATTCACAAGGTACAACACAGTGAAAAAAAGGGCCATTACTCACGGTGTAATTAATGGAAATTGTTGAAATTCAATAGGCGTCTTCGTTGCGCTAATTTAAATGATGCATATCAATTTCAAACAGATCGGATGATAAGTGTTGTCATTAGAGCAATCAAATGATTCAACAAAGTGAAACAAGGGTCATAACTCTAGATGTAATTAACGGAAATTGCTGAAATTCCATAAGCTTCTTTGTTTTACTAATCTAAATGATGCATATAAATTTCATACAGATCGGATAATAACTTTTGTCGTTAGAGCATAAACAAGGTACAACAAAGTGAAACAAGGGCCATAACTAACGGCGTAATTAAAGGAAATTGCTGAAATTCAATATGATTCTTCGTTTCACTAATTTAAATGATGCATATCAATTTCAAACAGATCGGATGATAACTGTTGTCATTAGAGCGTTCACAAGATTCAACAAAGTGAAACAAGGGCCATAACTCTAGATGTAATTAACGGAAATTGCTGAAATTCAATAGGCTTCTTTGTTTTACTAATTTAAATTATGCATATAAATTTCATACAGATCGGTTGATAACTTTTGTTGTTAGAGCGTTCACAAGAAGCAACAAAGTGAAACAAGGGCCATAACTCTAGATGTAATTAACGGAAATTCAATAAGCTTCTTTGGTTTTACTAATCTAAATGATGCATATAAATTTCATACAGATCGGATAATAACTTTTTTCGTCAGAGCATTCACAAGGTACAAAAAAGTGAAGCAAGGGCCATAACTCACGGTGTAATTAAAGGAAATTGCTGAAATTCAATATGATTCTTCGTTTCACTAATTTAAATGATGCATATCAATTTCAAACAGATCGGATGATAACTGTTGTCATTAGAGCGTTCACAAGATTCAACAAAGTGAAACAAGGGCCATAACTCTAGATGTAATTAATGGAAATTGCTGAATTTAAATGATGCATATAAATTTCATACAGATCGGTTGATAACTTTTGTCGTTAGAGCGTTCACAAGGTGCAACAAAGTGAAACAAGGGCCATAACTCCAGACGACATTAACGGAAGTTATTGAAATTAAATAGGCTTCTTCATCTCACTAATGCAAACAACATATATCAATTTCAAAACAATCAGATGATAAATGTAGTCTGTAGAGTGTTCACAAGAAATTGTGGACGACGGACGGACGGGGGCGACAGCAATATACGACCACATTTCCATGTGGGCGTATAAAAATTGTTATTTTCATCTTTGTTAGAAAATGCCACGCCTTTCAAATGTAGAACGTCTACGTGCTATAGGTAGGCTCTATGCTGGTCAGTCTGTGGTCACTGTTGCAAGAGCCTTTAATTGTTCACGCCAGACAATAATTAATTTTAGAATGAGAGTGCTTCAACTGGAACTATTGCCGACCATGCAAG